TAAAATTATTATTAATTTTAATGAACGTTTACAGAGATTTTAGATTTCCATTCATTCATTGTTGCACTTTTCTCCCTGCCCACCCATCTCCCACCAGTTTTCTCTTCTCTTTGAAAAGTAAAATTCTTTCATTGGTATACAAACCCCTCCCCCCAGTATTACTGGGGTTTTTTTTGTTTTTGTTTTAGTATTACTACTTTTATGATGTAAAAATAATTTTTTCACAGATGGTTTGGTTTAGGATTTGGGGTCAGAATTGTAAAAGGGCCAGCAATTCACTTCTAGACTCCAGAAATCAATTTGATTTAACCATCTCCAATTAGATCATTTCTAGACTGTTTTCAAGACACTTGAATTAATCCCAAAGGCTCTTTTTTAAAAAAATGGGTTTTCTTATTTATTTTTATTTTATTATTTTTGTGTGTGTGTGTACCGTCAAATCAGATCTCACTGGTACAGGAGGAAATTGTCCCTCCTTCTCGGGCAGAGCATCTTGTGGCTTCGAACTGTACCTCTGGGATTGTAGTGCAGCTTCTTGCCACTAGGCCACCAGAGCTCCCCTTCAAAGGCTCTCTTAACTTAGACCTACTTTACTGCATGACATCTGTCTATAAATCCTAGTCTGAAATTGGGCTCAGCTAGATCAAGTCAGTTTTGTCCTATAAAATACAGGACTTAAAGCCCGGAATTTTCTGCATACTTTATTGTGATTTAGGTGAAGGTTACCAATTTAGTTTCCCATTCAATAATTCATCCATTTTGTTTCTTTCCCTTAGTTGCAACCCCTTCAGTGTAACAGCACTATTCCCATTTCCTCCCTTGGTTCCCTATTTCCATTTGCCCATCTTTCTGCCCTTTTCTCCTTTCTGACCTTTCTTTTGGGGCAGATGGTCCTCTTTTGATCGTACATGGTTGGTTGTTCTAAGGAACACATTCCTTTTAGATAGATACGGCTTGCTTTATGGGCCTTGTTGATTGACTTAAAGGTGATTTCAATGTGTGTTCAGTTCCAGACTTGAAGAATGTCTGTGGGCGAGATACATCCTCTAAGGGCCATCAGTCTCTCCCACTCTAGTCAGGATTTTCTTTGAATCCGATCAGAGCAGTCAGTAATGGTTTCCAGGGACCATGTAGTTCTTCTGGTCTCAGGATGGTAGAGACTGGTTCGTGTGATTTCTTAGTTTTTTGGACTATTTCCTTTAGACTTTGATTTTCTTCACTCTCCTTTGTGCCAGATAGGAAGAGACCAAATAAAATGATGGCCAGTTGAGAGTCAACGTCCTAAAAATATTTTTTTTCTTTATATTGCACATTGAATGAAAGTTTACAAAGCATAGTGAGTTTTTATATATATATATAGTTACAATACTTCCAATGTAGATTTTCTCTTTTTTTACTTTCTCCCTATAATTTTCATTTCTGTTGTTTCAAGTTGAAACAGACTTTCAGAGGCAATACTGCCCCTCTTTCTCTCAGAGAGCTGCTAGGAGGTTTGAACTGCTTGCCTTTGAGTTTGAAGTACATCTCAAGTAGACTACTGGAGCTCCCTCATTTCCATTAGTATTATCCTTTCTGAGCTTGATATTGTTGCCTTTTGTTTTGTTTGCCTTTTGATCTTACTGGTTTTATACAAAGGCTGTTTCCTTATTTCTTACCTGTTTATTGTTTGGCTGAAAGTTGAACCACAGGCTGAGTTTTTTCTAGGTTCAAAGAGTGATTAAGAACCACAGTCTTTTGAGGGTTCCCCATCCTCTATGGGACCAGTTAACCTGACTATTTTTGTGATTGTGAGTTTTATTCCATGTTTTTCTCCACTCTATCCAGTACCTTCTACTGTGATCCCTTTTAGAGAGATCTGCAGTGGTAATTGGGCATCATCCCTCCATTCAGTCATCAGGGACTAAGGAACCTATGAAAAAATAGCCTAAAACCCATTACTTGGAAAAGTCACTCTGAAGCCAGTTTTTTAAATGACAAAGAACTAAACAGCAACAAACCCACCTCAACACTCAGTTTTGTATAGTGCATCTAATTG